ATAGCTGACAGGTAATATAAAATTAAATAAGTATTTAATTGTTGACTCTATATGTACAATAAATACTTGATATAGCAAGTGTGGCATATTATGAGAAGTATGCTATTACAACTAACTTCCAAATCATCAATGGCTCAACTGCCCCGGGTGGGCCTTGGCCTTCTCAAGAAGTTTTTTTTTAGGCTTACCAAATCACCATCATACTACTAATATTGAAGTTGCAAAATTTGTATGTTTGTAATGAGTTAAAAAATTACAGGCTTTTTGCTATGGGGACCACTAAAAGCCGTAAACCTGCTTCGCAGGTCGGCTGGCCACCTCCGGTGACTAAGCCTTTAGCTATTATGATAAAGAAAAGTTTTAGAGAAATACATTTTCTGCTGTGAAAGACATATTTATATTTTCTGATATAAATGCAGAAATATAGGACAGAAAAAAATACATCCTTTCTTTCTTACAATTTTAACTGTTTATTTTCATAAAGCAATATGTGGGCAACCACTGACTAAATTATATTTTTCCTAATAAAAGAGAAGTTGCTCTATTTTGAGAAATCCTGTTATGCATTTCATAAGAATGTGCCTTTTATTGATTAAATGTCTTATCATGCCTCCCAGTTTCTCTTCTTGACAACTAACTATTAAAATCAGCATTCACTGTTATCAATGACATCTCTTCATTCTCTTTTGGAAAGATCTTATGATTTGGAAACTTGTTGTTCTAACATTTCTACCCTTCATTAAATATTAATGTTATTCAATTTACAATTTGAAGGTAAAACCAATCTACTACATGCATTTTAAATCAAAACAGTTGTTAAAAATTATTGGGAGAAAAAACTTTTTTTGACACCCTGTGTTCCTTTAAGAAGTAATTTTTTTAATAAAAAAAATTTAATACATTTGGTTAGTTTTCATAAAGTATAAAAAAAAAATCCTTTTTTTTCTCTAATTTGATATGTTTTTGAAATATCATAAGTTGTTCTATGAAGCTTGAAAAATTATGTAAGTGTTTACTTTAACAAAAATTGTTTTGTGTCAAATGTATGCAACATCACTACATTTTTTGAAAATATTATTGAAATAAAAATATTTTTTCAGTTTAAAAGTGCTGAATTATTTTAAAAATTTGTCTGGAATCAGGAGGTAAAAGTCTGAAAATTTCATTTAAAACCTGATATGGTCATGTAAGAAGTAACTTGGTTGGTTTGACATGTAATGTAATGTCAGTACTTAATGAGTACTGTGATAGCATGTTTGTTTTATACTCTACTTTTGTGATAAATAACCGTTTCTATAAAGAAAAAATTCCTTTTTTTTACATGAGATTGATTTGAAACAGTTCGATATTGTCATTATATTCAAATTATTTTGTAATTTAGCATGTTAGTTATTTTTAAATTTGGATTGGTTTGTCACAGGGTTGGCAAGTTTTTGACACGTGACGGTTTTTACCGATTTATACCATGGATTTTACCGTCATGTCAAAAACCCCTCTGTCAAAAACGTCGAAAACTGTCAAAAACCCATAGTTTTGGTAAAACTGTATTTTTGAGTTTAACTGCTTATAATTTAAAATTAATTCATTTTTGGGCAATAAAATTATGAAAAAAAGTTGTTAAAAGAAATTTAAGAACAGATTCTTGCATTTTCCCAACATGATTATATCAAAACATACTATTTGAAGTAAAATATTAGGATACTAAACAAATTTTTCAACATTTCCAAGCATCATTTTGTTTGGCATATTACATTACTGAAGAATGTCAAGTCATTCTTGACTTAGAGTTTGTTAGTAGTTACAAGCTTTGAAAGTTTTGTTTAGCTTATTTCTAATATTTAAGAAATGCCAAATTTTAAATTCTTCTTTTTAGTTCTTGAATTTATTAATAGTTCCAAGCTTTTTTGTTTGTTTGTTTATTTCTAACAATTAAGAAGTGCAAAATTTTGAATCCTTTGCAAATCAAGCTATAATGATAAAAGTAAGTATCACTATTTTCAATAAGTATATTACAATATTTCTGTATGAATGTATATCCTTCTATAAGAATACATGTATATAGTTGCAAAATAAATAGCAATCATTTACAACATTTATTTATAAAGGCAATTATGTGAAAATAATATATTGCCTGCTATATGCCATAATTTAGAGAAAACAGTAGACAGTTTTACCGGTTTGACAGTTTTTACCGGTAAAAACACGGTTTTTACCACTGTCATGTCAAAAACCAGTTTTTGACGGCAAAAACCCAACCCTGGTTTGTCAGCAAGTATTTCTTTAGCCAATTTTTTCTTTCATTTCCTCATCTTTTCTATTAATATTTCCTTTCTGAAATGTATCTTCTTTTTTTTTCATTGGTCATGAGTCTTTTATTAATACATATTTCCTTATCTGTTAAACTGCTTCTTATTTATTTACATTATTTTTTTATCAGTGATGTAATCTATAAAGAGTAGTGTCTTTTATATAATTTGTTTATTATTGAAGACTCTCGCAAATGTTATATTTTATATTTATTGATATATCTTTTTTTTATATTTATTGATATATCTTTTTTTTTATCTTTAATGTTTACAAACTTATCTAATTTTTTGCTGACAGACAAAATAAACTTAAGATATGATGTAGCAACAAGTTGAATATATTTTCTTAATCGATAAAATCCGAAAATTTTGTCTGTCACTTGTTATTGATGCTTGAGAATTTCATCATGGCATTAAGGTTTTAAAATTTCATTATAAAATGCTGCCAAGAAACAGCTTTTATAATTTTGGCTAAATGTTTAATCTATTCCTACATATTTGCAAAAATTTGGCATGCAATTTTTTATGATTTTAGCTAACTGTTTTTATGGTAAACAGATAGGTTTTTTCATTATTATTAAATAAATAATGTTGACATTTTATCCAATCCTTTTTAGTGCTTTGAGAGTTTAATTCTATTCTAAATTTCTTCACTTTTTATTTATCAGTAATTTGATAACTGCCCATTATAATTATTCATATACAAAAAATGTTATCTGGAATAATATAAAAATTGAAGATAAATTTTTATTAGCTTTTTTTTTTCTCACTTGCATGCCATGTAACATTTTTGTTGTTATGTGTCACATCATTTTTGTTTCTTAAATTTCATGATCAATTTGGTTACCATTTTGATTCAATTAACTCCAATTAATTTATTTTGCCTTTTTTTTTTGTAACTTTGCCTTTTAGTTTGAAACTGAATTTATTTTATACATAAAATTATCAAAAATTAGTCTTTTTTTAATGAAAATTTTTTTTTTAATTTTTTTTTTATAATTAATTTTATTTTGCCTTTAATAAAACTTTTCAGAAATCAATTATAAAAAATTTTTAACAGATTTTTTCGTAGCAAACATTTTTAAAAAATGTGTCTCGATATCAGGTGGAAATAACAGTAGTATATGTTTTATTTTCAAGATGAAATTGTCATTTGAATAATACTTACAGAAATATTTAAAAAAAATGATCATTTTTTGCAACTTTGAAATTAGTTTTCGTTATGTGTAATCTTAATTATAGAGATTTTACATGAACCAGCTTTAATTTTCTTTTTAAATCAAAGAAAGATGAAAAATATGTGTGAATGAACTTGAAATGAAATATCCTAAAAAAAAAAAATTTTACATTATTCAAAAAATATATTTGTTTTCTCTAGGTTTGGAAGGCGTCCTTCCATTATCCTCAGTTATGTGATAGCCAGCATTGCAGGAATAGCAAGTGCTTTCACTTCCAATTTCTACACATTTAACTTTCTGAGATTTTTTGTTGGTGCTACAATCATACCATTATCAGAAGATCCATATGTTCTTAGTGAGTTACGAAGCCTAAATGTTTCAATGCATTTCCTTTGCTTAAAACAATTTTTTTATAATCAGTTTTTGCTGTTAACATTTATTTGAATGCTACATACTTTTTAGGCTAATAGAATTCCATTTGAAAAGTTAGAAGTAACATATTTTGTTGGTGTATTGAATTTCTAAAATTGATAATAGTAAGTGAAGACTTTGGTGGACTTTACTTTTTCCAACAGGAGCTTTCATTTCAAAGTACAAAAATTTGGATTTTAATTTTTTATACCTAAAGTCTGCTAGTGTGAACTTTCTTCAAAAATATGCAATTTAACAGTAGATAATAAAATATACAATTTGTATTAAATATCAAATTATCAAGTATAGCTAATTTTCCTGATAATTAATCAATAATCGTAACTTACATAAAAAAAATATGGTCTATACTACAAGTTTCCTTGATTATATTTCTTTTCTTTATCAAAAAAGAAATTAATTTGTAAGGCATAAGTCTTTTAAAAAAGATTAATTTTTAAACTTGTAATTATTGCTTTTCGGCTTGTGAGCAATGCTAACTTGATTGTCACAATTGTGCTGTGTGTCATGAAATTGTGGAGTTTTAACCTCCCCCACCCCCCTGGTGCTTAACACGCTATTACTGGAATACTTTATTTATTGCTTTTGTAACTATATTTGTAGAAATGATTGGATGTATTGAAGTAAAATCAGTGTTGAAATCTTGTAAGCATTTTTATTTTATTAAATTGAGCTTTTGAATTGAAGGAAAATGGATAGTTATATAAATTAAAAAATGTTTTAGATTCTTTTTTTTTTAAATGTTTTAATGCATGTTTTCTTAATTTCATGAATTGTTTAAATGTTAAGCGCACTGCGTTTGTACATTAATAAATTGAAATATTTATTACTCCTTTTAAAACAAAAGATTTTCTACCATTATTTCATACAATAAATATCAATACAAAAATTATAGACTCTTTATAAAATGTAGTACTACAATGTGCTATCAGGCCAGGAGTACAGAAGTTCCTTTTCAAGAGGTTTTTCTATTTAATTTTCATAAATATGCTTTATTGTCATTGAGCGTAACAAAAACTTGATAACGCCTAAATCTACAAAACATAAATTAGTTGTCTACTTTTGCAAAAAAAATTATTGTTATTACCATTTTTTTTAAAGTATAATGTATTGATTCATTACAAATTTATTTTAATATTTTTTTAATATAAGAGGGAAAAAAATGTGAACATGTGAATATCACTAGTTTTGCATTATATAGTTTTTTTCTATGAAATGTTTTTTTGGCAATTTATTTATTTATTTTAGAATGATTTTTATCAAATTTATATTATGTTTTCATTTACTATTTTGCAGGTTTAGAATATATTGGAGTCAAAAAACGAACTTTAGTCATCATTATATGGTCCATGGGCTACATTATTTTTTCAGCCATTTGCCCTTGGATTGCTTATTCTTTGCGAGACTGGCGTTTACTTTGCGTTATTACTTCTGTACCACTTGCTGCCATACCAATTTTTGGAAAGTAAGTTAGGAAAATGGTTCGCTATTTCTTAATCTATTTAAAGTTTTTTTTAAGGTATTAAGTTTGAAGACATTGAAGTTTAAATCTAGACTAAACTTAATGGTTTATTTTCTTGCTAAATTTCAGTTATTTTCCTTATTTTTTAGGTATTTTATGAATTATCATTTATTTATTTATTTTGCCTTTAGTAATATCCTGTCTCAACTGTATTCCATCAATAATGGTGTTTCTGCTCAAAGATTCTCAAAATAAACGTCAAACATAAATTTTCTCAAATGATCTCATAAAAATTGAGTTTCAATGCTTTTTTTCTTTTCTGATAAGTAATCAACTACAACATAGACACATTGTTAACATGCAACTTTAAAGCATTCATTCAAAATATTTAGACAAGCTGAAATTAATTAAAAACAAAGTATTTTAAAACTGTTAAGTTAAAATAAATTATAAGAAAAAGTTTGTTATGTGCCAGCAATTTATGATTTTAAAAAAAGTCTTAAAATGTGTTCATATTTTCTCAGCAAACACTTTTATAGGTTATTATATCTTGATGCTAAATCCAAGAGTGATCTGAAGATCTTCTGTGTTGGGTTCAAAAATACAAGGCTACAGATTTGAACTTTGATAGCCACACACTTTAGAAAAATGCCTGCGCTGCTTAACACCAGTTATAAAATATAATACAGCTCGTATGTTGTTTTAGTATACAATTGTGTTTACCTTGTCTAACAAAATCAGGACAAAATTTAACACAAAGTGGACAGTGCTTATTCACATTGGCACTGTCTCTCTAAAAAGTACCTAATATCTGATAGTTTGAACAAGCTTAGTAGCTCTCAATTTATTAAAGAATATTAATTATAAGCTTTCAAAATAACAATAGCAGAAATCATTCTTTAAACACATTCAATAATGGTTATTTTACCGTAATTCATCCTTTGTATTTTGTGTTATTTTTAAAGTATGTTCATTTAAAGTAAGTTAACTAAATGATAGTGTTTTTATTTCAGATTTGTACCTGAATCTGCTAGTTGGTTACTTACTCGTGGAAGACAGAAAGAAGCTATAGCTTTACTTAAAACAGTAGCTCGTGTTAATGGGAATGACTATCCAGAAGAATATGGTGATAGCTGTGTATGTAAAGTTTTATGTTTATTATTGTTTTTGATTATTATAAAATAGATTGTGCAAGCATCATAACAACATTGAATTGAGTAAAAATATTCTTCCTGCTTTGTTTTAATTTTGATTATATTTAGCATTCTGAAACTACTAAAACGTTAGTTTGAACAGGAGGCTGCTATGGCAACAAATTTTGCAAAAATATAGGCTTAAATATCTAGCTTGCAATCAATTTTAAAAAAAGATTAGTGACTTTTCAACCAATCCTCCACTAAAAAATTTATTCGCAGTTTCATTAACCTTGCAGCAGTACAGATAAGAGTTTATTTCTTTTTGCTATGTCCTTTATACATATGTGCAAGTTTTTTTTTCACTCCATTTGACTAATTCAATTACAATAGAATGATTCATGCCATTTAAGTGGAGCTATTTCAGAAAAATAGATCTTCATACCTGTTGGAGTTTGTTTTTTACAGTTGCGTATTAATATAAAGTCTATCGAATTTAATATAAAAGTATAACAAGTTAGAACACAGTTACAATGGTTATAAAAATATTACACTTGAAAAAAATTTTATGTACACAGATCATAACATATCATGCAAATTTTCTCTTCGTGTATATTTCCTCTTCATCTATTTATATATATATATATACAGTACAGAACCCGTTATCCGGAAATCAGAAAACCGAAAAACCGGAACGAAATTCGATAAATTTTCCAACAATTTTTTAAAAAATAAATATTTATTCCTCATAAGAATTTAGTATTTTTCTTTCTTTTTCGAAAGATGTTTACCTTAGAATCATTTTGGAAATAATCATTAGTGTATTACTTCATAATTTTTTCTTCTTTTTTTGATTATTTCCAAGAAAAAAAATTTTTTAGTTGGGTTTAACAACAAAAAAACGGCTTTTTGTAGCGATTCAGAAAACCGGAAAAATCAGTTATCCGGNATATATATTCTTTGAGAATTTTTGAAAACATCTACATAACATGATATCTATGCATCTTCAACAGATTGAGTTTAAGGCTTTTGCATTATCTGATTTAAAATCAACTTATAATTGTATGAGAATAGCAATATACCTACCTGTGAAATATGTGGCTCTCAAAAGAGAATTCAATCTATTTGTTGATAATTAGTTCTGTTAACCAATAAGTTTGCCAACCACTACCCTAAATAAATTAACTCCTTTTCTCTATTAACTTTGTTTTTTTAGTGCATAGTTTAAGGTTTTATTTCCATTTATACATATTACCAACATTAATTAAGCATCATTGGCATCAATAATAGTATGGTGATTTGTTACAATTGCTCTAAATGAATAAGTACCTTTACTCTATTAATTTTGCTTATTAGTACATTGCTTATTTTTTTTCTCAATATGTATTAACCTAAATTAATATGTAGTACCTAAATTAATAAAGCATCATTGGCAAAAATAATAGTGTGGCGATTTTTTATGTTTCTTCTAAGCAAATTAATACCGCTTTTCCATTAATTTTACCTTTTTCGCAATACAACTATTTTTTTTCTCATTACAATCACTGTTAATTTTAAATTATTTAACTTTAGAGAAACAAGTTATAAAAGAATTACTATAAACAAAATACGCACACGATTTCTGATAACTTTAGAAATACTAATTAGGTGACATAGTTCACCCTTGCAACCATGTTAATATTGATTTTTAAGTATATATCTAACATAGTGAATAAAAATAATTAAGTGTTAAAGTATGTGCAATAAACTTTCTTTTATCAAACAGAGCTATGAACTAGCAAACATCATTGATGTTATCTTTAAAATATTTGAGAAAAATAGTCTTCTATAGTTTTATTTGAAACAATGGCTAATGCTTAATGAGAAAATTTCATTGTTCAAACAGATCTCCCGAGGGATTTGAATTGAAAATGTATCAATTTTAGAATTGAGGCCAAAATTTCAGAAAAATGGAGCAAAAAGTTATAAGAGAGACACATACAGGCACATGAATTCTTCATTTTGTATTATATATCTTTTGATTTAATCAAGACTACTTATTTTCTTTAAAAATAATTAATCTTATACAATGTGTTTAACATCATATCAAAGTTATTCAAATCCAAAAAATAATATTCGCAATATTCCTAGCATTTTTTTTATTTTTTTTTTTTTTTAAGATTTGGCTATTGCATTAATATTTTATTTATTGCGATCTTTCTACTAATTGTAAGAGTGAAAGGGCAATTTTTTTTAAATTAAATTACTTCTTTTTCCATTGTATGTTATCATTTTAATTCATGGTAATTTTTATTAATATTTCAGGAGAAAAGCAGTGAAGAAAATACTGATGCAACCGCCTTAGATTTATTTAAAACTCTTCGTCTTAGAACCAATAGTTTGGTTTTAGCCTTAACATGGTAAACTTCTTCGCTTTGCTTTTTAAATTATTTTATTGATATTTTTAATAAATCATGCTTCATATTACCAATATTTACATAGTATTCATTATAATTTAAGTGATATGCTCATCATAAATTTTGGAATCATAATACGTCAAACTTTAGTTTATGAATCACTTATGGTTATTTGTAATTTACATGATTTTCAGATCACAAATGTGTAGCATGTGTGTCCTATTCACCATATTTTAATATCACTCATCATAAATTATTTAAAAAATTATATTCATGTATAATTTAAAAACAGCTATGTGTAAAACTTAGTCTTGTGTTTTTTCCCCCCTAAATCTCAAAAGCAGTACCTTTTTTCTCAAATTAGAAAAGAAAAAAAACAGGACATAATTATTTTTTCTAAGTCCACAATAACAGATTCATCTGCAAAACGTCTGAACCCCATCATCATATTTTAATAACAGCTGTATAAAGTTTTAAAGTAATTTAAGCACAAATCATGTTTATTTCAATGAAATTAAACAAAGTAATTTATGTATGTTATAGATTTTGCCTGGCTCTATGTTTCATTATGCAAAAATTATATTTAAATGTTCACTTTTTTTGCTTTTTTATGTTTTATAAAATAGCTAAATAAAAAATCTGAACTATGATATTGATTTCTATTTAAAATTCTACATAATAATGTGCAATAAACTACTTTATGTATTCAATTACAATAATTAAAATAAATTTTAAGTTTGGATCTTTTAATACTTGTAATAATTTAAAAAAACATATCTGATTTGTTCACAATAAGCATCAAAACAAGATTGTAATAATGTACCAATGGGTAGGCTTCAAATTTTGTTGAAAGATTTTGTTGTACAGTGTTAAAAATGTGCATGCTTTAGAATTTTTTTATAATATATTATCTCTAAAATTAGAGAAGGCTATATTATTAAAAAAAAATTTCAAATCGACTAATCTATACATATCTTTCCTCTTAGGTTTGTAGTATATTGTTGTTACCACACTAATACTCAAAATGCTTCTAATTTGGGAACAAATGTGTATGATTCCTTCACCTATAGCTCTTTAGTGGAAATACCATCACTTTTTATAATACTTTTTGGAGTTGACTGGTTGGGCAGAAGATGGCCTATAGTACTTTCATCTTTAGTGGCTGGTATTGCTGGATTAGTTATTTTGATTATACCAAAAGGTAATTTCTTTTTATCTTCATTTTAAAAGGGTTAGCATTTAAGTTAGAAAGTTGACATGATGAAATATTTGCTTTTTTTTAAAACCTGTCAATTGTGTATGGTTATCATAGTATATTCTTCTTATGGTGAGTGCCATTATTTTATATTGTCATTTTAAAACTTTTATTTTAAATTCAAAATAAAATTAAAATTTATTTTTTGTAATTATAAAATAATATTTAATAGAAACTTTCTTTTGTGTTGGCTTTAAAAATTATCTTTAGTTTCTAACTAGTGTTTTTACTAGCCTTCTAATGTTTTTGATGGTGGTTTATACAAGGGAAACTATTGTAATTTATCAATTTTTGGTTTTTGTTTATGAATTTATTCTTACAATAATTTTAATAGAAATAATGAGATTTTCAGTTAGCAAACAATAACATAAAAATACAGTTTTGTCCACAAATTATAATTATAAATTACTTCAGTGAGTGAGCTAAATCATTTATTCTTACATCTTCCAAAAAGAATGCATAGTTCATACCATTTAAAATCTGTTCTCTTAAGTTTCCGATATCATGATTTTTTAAATATTGTGAAGTTAATGATTTTATAACTTTTCTGCACTGCTCAAGTTCAAAGAATGGCCAATAAAAAGATTCTTATTAAATTTATTTCATATTCAGTCTCTAATAATTATGATGCAAAAATTTTAAAACTTAGACTGATGCTCTCAAGTTAGTTCACAAGTGCAAAAGTAAATATTTTGAACTTAATTAAAATGAAGGAAAAGACCCTCTATACTTAATATGATTTGTATTGATATGATATATATTTTCCAAAATCATATATTCAAATGTGGAAGTCAGAACTTTTATTTTAATAAGCATATTTTGTTTTGTTTTTGGCAAAACAATTGATTTATTATGTTTTATTGAAAAAATTTATTATCAAATTTGTTATAAAAATTTTGCGAATATGAAAATGGAATATTTTGTGTTTTGGGAAGAAGATACATAGTTAAATGTTTTTAAAAGCAAAGAAAAAAGTTATGTTCATTATATAAAACTCTAATTGGTACCATGAATGTGTCTTAAAATTCTTCAAAAAGATAAAATTTTTTTATTCGATTTTACCATGTTAATACGATTTTACTTAAAATAACTGTTTTCATCTATGTGTCACTCACGCTTTAGCTTTAACTAAATATACTCACTCAAAGTAGTTATGTCATTTTTTTTAACTGTCTCTGTAATAATTACTGCATAAAATCCATTTTTAAGTTTAAGAATATCATAACTAGTTTGTATTCTTTATCATTAATTAAGTATATACTTTACTATATTTAGTAAACTATATACTTAAAAAAAAAAAGCTGTGATAGATATTTTATTTTCAATTTTACCCACTAAAAATTATATTTTCCTTTTTTATATACTAGAGTTTTAATTTATATTTTAAATCCCTATTAAAATTTAAGAGTATCCTAAATTGTATTTTTATGTTTATTATGTTACTAGTTGAACACCTGTTCTTCATACAGGGGGGATGAGAGGCAAATAATCAATAAATTAATACTGAACAAAATCATGTGCAAGACTGAAAATTCTGTACTGCAATAATTAATAAAGTTGATTTAATTCTTTTTTTTTTTTAAGTATTATTGGTTGGCCTTCAGAGGGTTTTAAGTCATTAACATAAGCAAAACACATTTTTTCTCTCATCAAAATATAAATTACCTGTTATCAGTATTATTTTGTATATTGTTGTAGCTTGTTAACTTACAATAGCCAAAATTACCAGAATCAAGCAATTTTCTTCCGTACTTATCTTTTTTCAGGAGTCGTAAAAACCCATATCTCAAATTTCCAAATTAAAACTATACAGTACTTAATCAGTTTTAATAGGTACCAAATATACTAATACAATACTTTGTATCCATATTAGCTTTTTTGGTACACATTAAAAGAGCTCATTTACCTTACTACCATTTGTGCCTATCACAATTAATTTAGCATCGTTGGAGATAATAATTGTGTAGCAATTTTCTACATTTCTCCTAAACCAATCAATACCATTAACATTGCTATTTTGTACATACTTTATTTATTTATTTATTTTTATTTGAATCAGTACCTGCTACGAAAATTAATCAAGCATCATTGGTGTCAAAAATACATAGCTATATTTTTACTTTCTTTTAAATTATTTAGTACCACTTCCTCATTTGTTTTGCTTTTTAGTACATTGCTTATTATCTTGTTCTAATTAGTACCCATTACAAAAATTAAGTAAGCATCATCAGCGTCAATTATAGTTAGGCAACTTTTTACTTTTCACCAAGGCAAATAAATACTATTTTTGTTGATTCTAAGTTATTTCAGTTTTATAGAAACATGATTTAAAAGTATAATTCTAAACAAAATAAATAAAGTTTCAGATTAATTTAGAAAACTATTACAATTACGTAGACTTATGTCAAATAAACTAAATTGATCATTTCGTTTATCTATCATCACAAATTAGAAAATAATTAAATATATGAAAGAACAATGCAATAAACTCCTTTTTTTATCAAATATAACTAAAAAAACACAAATGTCACTGATGTTATCTTTAAAATATTTGAAACAATAGAATTTTCTTTAATTTAATTTAAAAAAGTTAATGCTTAACCAATAAGAAAATTTTATTTTTTAAACACCGTTACCGAATGTAGTAATTAAAAATTTTGAACAACTTTAAGAGTGCAAGCAATTCTGGAGTTAAAGAGATACACCCACCCACAGAAAAACTTTTCATTTTATTATTGTAGATTGTTGTTACCTTATTACTCTTTCCTTCTTTTTCTTTTTTTACATATAATAGTTCTTTTTATTTTTTGTTATTTGATACATTTGTAACAGTTGTTCTTTGTATAGCAAGTTGTAAGAATAAATAGTATAAATATTTTTTTGTTAATTTTGCATGTTTTGTTATCATTACTTATCTGCTATTGTTTCTAAAAATTTTCACTGCTAAGTAAAATTTACTTATTGTGTTGGTCTGTACCTGTTTTAGTGTTAGTCATTTTAATTTATGATTTCAAGTAGTATTTGATTTTAATTAAGAAATATTTGTATTATGTAGATGCAACGAATACCTATTTGGGATTGGCCTTAATTCAAAGAGTTACCATCACCATCGTATACAATGTGATAATGCAGTATTCTGCGGAGCTCTTACCAACTGTCCTAAGAGGACGCGGACTGGCCTTTCTTAGAGTGATGGGAACTCTTGGACTTTATCTTAGTCCATCCATTGTGTACCTGGTAAGTATAGAATTCTTAATTTAATTAATGTTTTGTTGAAACGTTTCTTATGTGTTTCTCCATGGCAAAACGAATAAATTTTGTGGATTCTTGTGATCTGATTAGAATTTTCTACTTCTTAATTCACTTATTTACCCTATTAATTTTTAGTAAAAAAATTTTTTTAAATATTTTTTACTGGTCTGGTCGGCTTACTAATCTAAAAATAGGTTTCCTGTTTGCTTTTTTTTCTCATTAATAAATTAACAGTGTAACCGTTAATTTCATCATCAATTAACAGTGTAACTGTTATATTGTGAATATTAACAAATACTTATAAGTGACAAAATAAATCAGATATTATTGTGCATAAAATATAATTTTTTTTGGTTTGATATAATTAGTTATGTAACTAACTAGGCCTATGTTTCTGTTTTATCATTTGTAATAATTAGATAGACTGAATATTTTATGTCTTAGTGTAGAAAATAATTCAGATGAAAGCAAACATGTTTTAAAAATCTGAAACAAAAATTAATTAAATAATTACACATATAAATCTGAATAAAATAATAAACATCTGATTACAATAAACTGAAATTGGAGAACAATAAACAAAACTTTATAAGTATTTGTAATTTTTCTTCTTATTGTTATTTTCAAATATTTTTATCAATGAAAGACTGATAATTATCTGAGTTAAACTTAATTACATTGATATAATAGCCAAAACAAGTGAAGCACTTAAACATACATGTTCTTCGAAGCTGAAGTTACTAAAATGAATCTCAACATTTAATCGAAATGAAATGTAAGTCGAAAACCATTTAAATAAAATCATATCTTTTTAGAAATAGGCATCTATAAATTTGAAGTCAGGAAGAAATTCATGTGTCTCAGAATTTAGAAAAACCCGGACATAATTACTTTTATTAACATCCAAAGGTTAAAACAGGGTAGACATCTTATTAGAACCTAGAAAACCTGAAATTATAAGGGAAATTTGGATGAAAACTTGGAAAAATCAGGGAGTTTAAAAGAGAAACTGGAATTTTTTTCTTAATTTCACTACTTTACCATCCATTATACTCATTTTTTTAAATGGAAATGTATAGCCAAATAGTTGAAATATTGCCAACTTAGTAATATTTTTAGCTTGCATCAAAATTTTCTTTCTTAAGCAAGCCAACCAATCCAGGGATGAGATTCTTCCGCGGATTCGCGGATTTCCGCTTTTTTTCAGATTTTTCCATTTTTCCCGCTAATTTCCGCTGAAATTTTTTTTTTGCCCAAGTTAAAATGTTTTATGAGGAATTTAATTTTCCGCGGAGGGAAATTGTTGAGGTCCCTTTTCCTCCCGCTGAAGTTTCTCTAAAAATCATTTCCTTGGGATAAAACTGGTTGACCTTTATACAGGGATGAGATTTTTTTTGTCTCTCGAATTTCAGTCTATTTATCAAAAACTCCGATTCTCTAAAAGTTTCGTTTTTTTTAAATAAATATACCGTTTTTTTTTAAATTCAGTCATTGAAGTAAAATAATTATATTTATTTACGATTTTCAAAGATAAACAGAAAATTCAATCTACGCCCTAGCTGCTAACCCTTCCGCATTTTTACTTATTTTAGCTATTTTCTCCGATTTCACGCACAGAAAATAAGATTTTCCGTATTTTTTATCCGTCGGCTGGATAGCTCGTATTTTCGTAATTCAGATCTCGATTTTTATTCACGCGATTTTAATATCAATCATCGATTTTCGTATTTACCTGATTTAAAAGGAGAACTCTTGGATCAAGCAT